TATATGAAATACTATATTATGGTGGAATAGCCATGCTTTAAATTGCAATGCCTGAATAAAAGCTATCAATTAAGACCAATACAAATCCCTTCATTTCTATCAGCTCTCATTCATATGTTACAGTAGATGATCATTCTTAATGAACATCTCATAGCATCAGCAGAGTTATCCTAATGCATACTATACATGTAGCAACCTAACCATGTTTTCTTAACATAGAATACAATCACACCTTATGCCTTTCCAAATAAAGCATACTACACAGTCTTGAAGCCAAAGAAGAACAAGGAATTACTACTTTGGAATAAAGATAATAACCTTTCAAAGCAGAAAGGCTGCTCAGAGTGGTGGTGGACTTCCCATAACTGGCAGTATTCAAGGCCAGGCTGGATGGGGCTTAGAGCAAGCTGGTCTAGTGGAAAGTGTTCCTGTCCGTGGCAGGTGCATTGGAACTACATAGCATTTAAGGTCCCTGGTCAACCCTAACCATTCTATGGTTCTACCATTCTAAGAAAGTGGGGCACAACTGCGGAGTTTGGAAAAAAACCCCAATTAATCTAGCATATGCTACAAATATTATCCCAAAAATTCTCAGCTGATAGGTCTAGCAAGCAGGGTTAACCTCCCTTGCCTTAGAATAGGTGGCAGCTGTCACTGAATGCATTTAAAAATCTTTCAGAAATAAACACCTTCAGATAAAAAAACCCCATACTAGACCAGTAATGCTAAGAGCTTCCATACCAACATGAGGCTACTTTTCTCTTGCTAGAAAACCAGCTTGCGACTCCAGACTGTAAACACCATTAAAATGCCATGCTAAGCAACACTGCTTAAATTCTTCCCTAACTGTTTAAAGAAACCCATCTGAATTAGACAAAGTAAACCAATTGCTAAAGGGCGGTATTATACTGCTAGGGGAGGCAGGTCAGGCTAATGCTGCTGAATCCCCCACATCTGCTGACAGGTATGCAAAGAAGCTGCCAAGTGTTTTGTGCCAGGCTGCTGACGCTCTCCTTTCATGAGATCTGATTGACTGTAATGTTGAAGGGAAGCACTAACACAAAATTGCTTATTCTTTGTTATATGGCAAGAGAGACTGATTTTTCTTATCACCTCCCATGCTGAAGGAGAGCAATAATGAAGTCACAAGCAATTGCACGTGACAGGGGAGCAGTGCTCCTGCTTGCTTTGGTCATGTGCTAGAAGAACCACCTGGAGCCTGGATGCCTCGGGAGCAGGTCTGCAACACCCATGACACTGTGATTATGACAGCAG